GACAGAAGCTAGTAAAAATAATATCAGTAAAAATAAGATTGCTTACGAGTTTTCATTTACTATTCCAGTATTCCTTTAAAAATCGTTATTATTTTAGTAACTTTTTTTATTACCTAACATAATTATTTTTCCACGAATGTGGTATAAACCCGATTTTATTTTGACAACACTAACATTAATCAATGCAAATTAAATGAATGAATGACAATTAAAGTAACGTGTGAAAAGTAAATCCAATTGATTTAATATTCAATCCCGCACTTCGGTATCACTCTTCAACTTACAACCTTATTTTTTTTATTTGGTACTAAATATATTACTCAAAACAAAATAAAGGGCACCATTGCACATGTCTTGGCGTAACATCACGAAAGTCATTTCAGTCAGGTCACGAAATGCGTCCCAAAAATTTGCAGTGTACTTGCAATACACTTTCCCGTCAAGTAGTACCAATCGTGTCACCTAGGCGTCACTACGTGCATGCGCGCTATAAAATTTTGTAAACAAAATACACAAGTACACTGCAAAGATGGCCACATGCTCTATAAAATTGTGCTAAAATTATAAATGACGGTTAAAAGTACTAAAGAGAAAGAGACTTAGAGTCAAATAAACAATCGGTAGGAATTCATAAACATGCTTAGCTTAAAGTCTGTTGGCAACGGCTACCGGAAAAAAGGTCACTCACCATATCGGAAGTGTAACAGATACACTCAAATAGGGCCTACAGAGTAGAGAAACTTCCAACGACTTTTAAACATAACCATATTCAAACAACCGTCACAAAAAATTAAATAAGTTTATCGTTATTTTACTGCAATTTCCCTAAAAAGTGTACATTGTGTATTTCTAAAAACTTGCCATGAGACTCTGTAAGTGTATATACAATGCCTAAATACGTAGTCTAAATATGTCTGTTCTTAAAAACCAGAAGCACATTAATGCTTTTTGTTAAAAGCCTAAAAACTGGGTGTCCCTTATCTTGTTTTATTTAAGTAGTGTATTAAATATTGATTTTAAAATTTATTATAATTAATAATTGATTGATTGAATGAACAATTATTATATATGGGAAACTTAGTATGATCATTGCGGTCACAATCCAAAAGCATTGATTCTAATGTGTATGAAATGATGTGTGAAGAAGATGCAGATCAAAAGTAATCTTCGAGTACAGTCCGTGCGCTGAGTTCACTGGTTATAATAATAAACTTCAACCAAATGTCGTGGGGGTTGGATCAAAAAATACCCGTTCTTTTGGGAATGGCCTATAATTTTACAATGACGCATACAATTTTGGTCTTCTTATCAGTAGTTGGAGTTATTTACTCCTTTGCTACGATTACGCCGCAAAGTAAATTGGGCGAGTAAATAAGTACCAACTTGGGAGTATAAAGTGTAACATTCCTGACAATATAAATATTTACGCAATTTTTATGGACTTCAAAAAATGAGGAGGATATAGTTCTTGTTTTGTTTGAAAGGTAAAACTCCCGAGAATGGATTCCAAGAGAAACCGAGAGGAACTTTTGAAAATTATAGGGGCGCCCCCCAGTTCCCAAAAACAGGGGGTGGAAGTTTGTATGGAGCATTACGCAATTTTCTAGGTTGAACGCTAAAAATTGCTATGCGGACTATTTGGGACCAGCAGAAAACTCGTGAACCCGCAACCCGCAAAATCCTTTAAAAGAGCGCGAGAGAAGCCGTGGGCAGAAGCTAGTCCGTGCATAAAATGTATTTAGTTCATGGAATTCATATTTAGGAATTGGAATTCATATCTATTTTCCTTAAAATCCCTGATCTTGATGCAGCTAAATACTACTATTATTCCTACAACATTTGCCTTCAACAGTTTTATATTGGCAGTCAAAGTTTTTGGTAATTTACTCACAGCCTTATTTTCGGTCGGTTTACATTATAGGAACTTGAGTATATTAGTAACATAACATAACATCGCGCCTTTTATCCCCGAAGGGGTTGTCAGAGGTGCACATTACGCCACTGTACAATGTAACACCAACTTTTCCCTATAAGTCCCATGTAATAAGGGGTGAGCCTATTGCCTTATACCGGGCACAATTCCAGACTCTTTGCTACTACTTTTCTTTTTTTTTTGAGGGGGGAAAATCATCCAATTACTTCTCCCGCCTGGGTGAGGCGGGAGGGAGTGTCAGACTCTTACTGACTAAAAACCACCCCGTTCCTACTCCTGCACTTCGAGCCGGAGCCCCGGCAACCCGTTAAGTCTTCCGCGGCTCCGTATCGGCATCAGCCTTGTTAGGCCCCATCTGTGGTGGTCTGGCTCTTTGAGGCGCGCGCGGAACGCGACGCGCCGTACGCTCGGGCCTGGTTCTGGTCGGGCGGCGAGTCACCCATGCTCGCCGTCCGCAAGCCCGTGCTTACGGTGGCCGGAGATCGTCTCACGATCCCCGACCCCCTGAGTGTCTCTCGCGACGGCCGGGTCGTGAGGAGGTTCGTTCCCGCGCGCTCCGCCTCCTCCTTAGCTAGCATGACTGCTTCGCAGAAGGAGGAGACGGCATCCCAATTCCCTTCGCTCCGTACCATGGTCTGAACCAGAGCCGGACGCGAGAGGTCGCCGTCGCCGATCACATTTCTGAGGACACGGCGGTGCTCAGTCCACGCAGGACACACCGCCACCGTATGCTCCACCGTGTCCTCCGGGCGATCCTCGCAGTGATGACACCCAGGCGTTTCCTCCCGCCCAATCCGAAACAGGAACCTACCGAAACTTCCGTGGTAGGTGAGGACGCCGTAGCGTCTCTCAAGCCACTCTTCAAAGAGGGGACTTACCGCTGCAATGACAGCGAGCCCAAGACTCTTTGCTACTACTGAGAATGTATAATAAACCCAATACTTTGCCCGACCCGGGAATCGAACCCGAGACCCCTCGCCTGGCAGTCGCACTTCCGACCACTCGGCCAACGAGTAGTATATTAGTGTAGCAGAGTAGATGTAGACGAGAAGAAATACCAACAGTAATGAAATAGCAACGTATTCTTCGGAAAGAAACTGATTTCAATTAATAGAGTTTCATTGAGGTAATTATAAAGTAAATATGTATTTATGTGGAGACTGGAAAACTCTGTATTCTCTCCCGATGGAAAGTAATAGGTATCAGATACCTAATTGACCGTTGAATCTGTATTTAGTACTACCGCATCGTATTCTTAACAATGTTTTTTTAGCAAGCTGCGAACATGTTGGGCACTTACGTACAATGGTGAGCGAGCGAGCATGCGACTCACCTGGAACAATAATATTTAGATAGGTTACACGATGAATGATAATAATTTTAAAGTTGGTACTTAGGCTTAACGAAACACTTCAATAATTGCACGACTGCACGGTTGGTGCGGTGGCTGGGCAACCGGCTGCCGCGCAACGTGTAGGGGGTTCAATTCCCGCACGGAACAACTCTTTTCCAATGACAATTGTCCAATGACTTCTCTCGTCCGGGTGAGGCGAGAGGGAGTGTCAGACTCTTACTGACTAAAAACCACCCCGATCCTACTCCTCCACTTCGAGCCGGAGCCCCGGTAACCCGTTAGGTTCTCCGCGACGCGGAGTTTGAGTTGCATCTGTTATTTATATTAAATAAAGTGCTGGTTTTAGTAATATAATATATAGTGTGTATTGCGAATTACATAATGGACAAAAATATCGAACAAAGAGTTAGTCTTAAATTTTGCATCGCCAATGGAATTTCGTATTCGGAGTCACTGAAAATGTTATGTAGAAAGGATGGATGAAAGTAGAGTAACGAAAGAAGTATACAGAGCGGATATGAATGGGGCCGTCGGTAGAGGGCGCCCTAGACGGACATATAGTGACCAGATTGGCGATATATAAAAGAAGGGCCAAATTAAAAGTACCCTTAACCGACGAGCATGCATGAAAAGATTGATGACTGTTAATGAAGCGAAAGAGGTATGTAATGTAAGAATCGTAGTAATTGGCATTCCTTAGTCTCTGCCTACCCCCATGGGAGACAGGCGTGAAGTTATGTATGTAGGTATGAAAATGTTACAGAAGGCTTACGGTGAATCGACTTTATTAAAAACCCGTGCTTATGAGTGGTTCAAAGCGTTCAAAAGCGGTTGAGATGTGATGGAAGATTTGCCTCGCTCTGGTAGGCCGTCAACGTCTGCAACTGAAGTTAACATCGCAAAAGTGAAGGAAATAGTGACTGAAAATCCCCATTCAACTCCGAGAGAGATAGCCGCCGAAGTTTCTGTATCTCACGAATCGATCCGTACTATTTTAACTAATCATTTGGGTATGAAAAATGTTGCTGCTCGGCTAGTCCCAAAAAAAATGAATTTTCTTCAAAAACTCAATAGCATGAAAGTCGCTGAGGACATGCTAGAACGAGTCAGTTCGGACCTAACATTCATGAAACTAAAAATTGTTACTGGTGACGAGACGTGGGTTTACGAGTTAGACATGCAAACTAGTCAACAAGCTTCGGAGTGGCGCCTTCCAACTGAACCGAAACCGAAAAAACCACGCCAAAGTCGATCAAAAGTCAAAGTCATGTTAACTGTTTGCATTGTCTATCGCGGTGTTGTGCACTCTGAATTCTTACCGGAAGGTCTAACTGTAAATAAAGAATATTATTTGAGCGTTATGCGGCGTTTAAGAGAGCAAATTCGACGAAAAAGGCCAGATTTGTGGAAAGAAAATTCTTGGATTTTGCACCACGATAATGCGCCTTCGCACAAGGCTATCATTGTGAACGAGTTTTTGACCAAAATCTCAACAAATACCATCCCGCAACCACCATATTCACCAGATATGGGAGCCATATCTGGTGACTTTTTTCTTTTTCCTAAACTTAACACGTTGAAGGCCATGGGGGCACCGGTGACCGGCGTTAGCGGAGGATTTACCTTCAACAGTTTTTTATTGGCAGTCAAAGTCTTAAATTACTACTTCGTTGCAGAGGCAAGCGAGCAGACGGATTACCTGATGGTAAGCGATCAACGCCGCCCATGGACACCCGCAACACCAGATGAGTCACAGGTGCGTTACCGGCCTTTTAAAAAGGAATACGCTCTTTTCTTGAAGGTGTGACGGTCGTATGGGTTCGGAAATACCGCCGATGACAGATCATTCCAGTTTTGCTGTGCGAGGCAGAAAGCTACGTGGGAAGCGCACAGTTGTGGCCTGCCAACCATCTATATGATAGGGATGCATATGCTGTCGTAAGAGTCGATGGCGAAAAGATGCGGCAAGGATACCTGCCTACGAGGAGTGCTCTAAAGAATTGTTTGACCTTATCAGGTAGATATAGGTATAAGCGATCAGGTAGGTATAAGCGATAGAAAATGCACAACGAAGCTACATCTATACGCATTGCCAAAGTGTATAGTCGGTTTGAAACATCCCGACATACAACAATACAACGGCACGCCGCTGAACGCGGTCCAGAGGAAGAAGCTGGTACTGGGGTGCCCCCGCCCAAAGATGAGTATTCCATATAGGGCCGAACCTACGTCTTATATAGAAGCATGCGGTGGGCCGTGGTGAAATACTGCCTCGATCTATTGAGCACACCAAGCTTCCTCGAGGCTAATTTGGCCTTATCCTCTAGATGACCGCGACACTGGACGTGGATCGAAATGCTGACACCAAGTATTCCAATACCGGCTGAGGCAGTTAGGGGGGTGGGTAAAATTATTCATTAAACCCTTTAAGCTGTTTACAATTTTATTGTGGACTAGCTTTTATCCGTGGCTTCGCTCGCGTCACAAAAGGATAAAAGTAGCCTATACCAATACACACAGCACCATCTATACCAATTCTTTTGTTTTCCCTCGGGAATATCAAGATTTTCCGGGATAAAAAGTACCCTATTATTTAATCCGGACTTCTAATTTTACGTCTGCAAAAATTCGAAGCAATCGGTTTAGAAGTTACGGCGTGAAGGCGGAACAAACAAACAAACAAACAAACAAACTCACTTTCCTATTTATAATAGTATATAAGGATTATACCAGCTGTCACCATTAACTATTTTACATTTTGTTACGGGTCTTCTCCTGCCTGGGTGAGGCGGGAGAGAGTGTCAGAATCTTCCTGACTAAAAATCACCCCGTTCATATTCCTACACTTCGAGCCGGAGCCCCGGTAACCCGTTAAGTTCTCCGCGGCTCCGTATCGGTATCAGCCCCATTGGGTCCATTCCGTGGTAGTCTGATGGCTCTTTGAGGAGTGCGCGGAACGCGACGCGCCGCACGCTCGGGTCTGGTTCTGAGCATGGGTAGCTCGCCGTCCGCAGGCCCATGCTTACGGTGGCCGGAGATCGTCCCGCTATCCCCGACGCTCGGAGTGTCCTTAGCGACGGCTGGGTCGTGAGGAGGCAACGTTTCGCTGCCTCATGCGCCCCGCCTACTCCTTAGTTAGCATGACTGCTTCGCAAAGGAGGAGACGGAATTCCAATCCCCGCTTCGCAAAAGGAGGAGACGGCATCCCAGTCCTCCTCACCCCGCATCATGACCCGGACCGTACCTCCCGAAGCTCCCATGTCCCGTGTGTCAGGCGGTAGGTGAGGACGCCGTAGCGTCTCTCAAGCCACTCTTCAAAGAGAGGACTTCGCGCGCAGATAGAACACGCGCCCAAGCACCTTCGCCTCCAGATCCCATGGTGGTAATCCGGCAAGGAGGTTCACCGCCTCTACGGATATCGTGCGGTATCCGCGGATCATTCGGATCGCCATGACCCTCTGTGACGTGAGCAGAGCCCGAGCGGGCCGCCGCAACAGGTTCGGCGCCCACATAGGGGCGTCGTAGAGGGTCATAGACCGCACGACGCCGGCGTATAACGTCCAGCAGGAAGCGTTTGGCCCCCCGAGGTTGGGTAGGACCCGCTTAAGCGCCGCCCCCGTCCTTTCCAACTTGGGAGCCAAACGTCGGAAATGCTCCACGAAGTCCCAAGTACTTTATCGTCGTTTCGACGCCGATGGTAAGCCCGCCGTTATTTGGAACTCCTCGTGAGGTAGCGCGTTCCCGCGGCCATGAAAACACATAGCCTCGGACTTGAGGAGCGCCACCTCGAGCGCCAGTTGCCGGATTCTTTCAACGACTGTCGCAACCGCTGTCGCCATTAAATCGGCCGCCGCCTGGTGCGACCTCCCGTGCTCTAGCACCAGCGTGTCGTCGGCGTAACATATGATGCTAACGCCGCTCGGGATGTCAGTGCGTAGCACCCAGTAATAACCGATGTTCCACAGGAGCGGCCCCAGAACCGAACTATGGAACACCGCGTGACATGTCTCGCCGGTCTCACTCGCCCCGGTGACCGGGGTAGCTGATGGACCTGTCCGTCAGATAGGCCTCGGTTACACGACGGAAATACGTGGGCGCCCGATGAGTGCCCCCAAGATACAGCTCCAGGGTAGGGAGTTGAAGGCGTTGACGATGTCCATGGACATCGCCACTACGACCTTACCCCTGGACACTGCAGTCGTGAGGTCTCTAACGTGCATGATGGCGTTCACCGTGGAGCTACAGAAAGGGTTATGATCGGAATTTCTTACTTTACTCGCGAGATCAAATCAAAAATAGGTTAGCAAGCTAAAGTGGCAGTGGTCAAGGCACATAATGCGGAGAACCGACGGTCGCTAAGGCAGATTTTTTTTCGAGTAGAGGCCACGTACTGGCAAGCGCAGTGTAGAGCCACCCATCTACTCATAAGGTGAAAATAATAGAGAACCAGTCGGTCCAGTCAAAAAAGTTATGTAACTTCTTATACTAAAGCGACAAGCGAGTTCTTTGTACCCTGTGTTGACTATCTGGTTCAATTTATTTAATAATTTATTTCCAAAAGCGTATTTGCCAGTGCGCAAGTGGAGCAACACAATTAGTGGAGACGCCGAGTTAAGTGGTGGCAATCAGTGCGCACTGCTTCACAATCAGTATTGCACAGACACGACGACACGATCGACATATCAACACTGCTTTAACTGTAATAATACACCGCAATCAGTGCGACTACCCGACTGCTGATTCCCTACCACCCCACAAGCGAGCACTGTGCGCGTTGACTGCTCACTGTAGTAAAGCAAGCCGCGATGACATCCTTCTTCGCCTTCGCCACTATTAGGACTGTTATTTGACACACAATTGATCATTAAAAAAGTTATATAGACGACTAGCTTCTGCCCGCGGGTTCGCCCGCGTTCCCGTGGAATAAAAAGTAGCCTACCTGTTATTCCAGACCATGATCTCTCCCTGTTCCAAATTTCAACCCGATCCCTTCAGCCGTGTTGACGTGATTTAGTAACAAAAATACACACACACTCAAACATTTCGCATTTATAATATTAGTAAGAATTAGTAAGATATAGTACTGCCTCGTTGATGTGCTCGCAAGTGCGCCTAACTACGCAAGACAAGCTTTAGGAAAAATAAATAAGTACCAGAAACTGGTCACACATCCTTACTAATATTATAAATCTGAAAGTGAGTTTGTTTGTTTGTTCCGATTTCACGCCGATCTAAAACTACTAAATCGATTGCTTTGAATTTTTGCAGACGTAAAGTTAAAGTGTGGATTAAATAATAGGGTACTTTTTATCCCGGAAAAATTTGATATTCCCGGGGGAAAACAAAAGTATTGGTATAGATGGCGCTGTATGTATTGGTATATGTCACATAGGCTACATTCTATCCTTTTGTGACGCGAGCGAAGCCGCGGGTAAAAGCTATTATAAGTAAATCAAATACGTCTTTTTGATACAGCAATGTTGTCATGTCATCAATTGAAACTACATGTGTTTAATGTGTAGTGTTTAACTTAAAGCTTCGGCTTTTTGACGAAGTACAGTCGTACTTCGTCAAAAATTACCAAGTTATGTGTGACGCTGTAATCACTCTCGCACACTACTCGAGCTGTCCGAATGATCGGTCGTCGCGTAGGTTCGCATATTCAAATTTTCGCGTGGTTTCCGAAAACGGGGCAATTTTGCGTCTCTGAGTTCATTTTGAGAAGAACCGGACTCGTAATTATAAAAAGGGACAGTCCCGTTCAAAACAGGACGTCTAGACACGTTAGCCATAGCAAAACCCTACTATTGGTGCCAGAAAGAGCTCGTTTTTCATACTTTTTGTTTATGGACGAGCATTGCCTAGCATAAATCCTAAACCACCGCCTACTTTTTGTGAATATGAAATGCCATGAGATCAGATTACTCGCTCGACGTACTCTTGAGTTACTCTAACACAAATAATACCTATATGAAATTTACGATGACCCTTATTTTGTTGGTTTGGCTAGTATATTTAGAAGTTCAATTGAAGACAAAATAATGCATAATTATTTTGTTCAAGCCGGTTCTTACGATAAAAGTATAAACAAAATGTAATAAAGACAATGGAAACTAGGTGTATGTATTTTATTAACATGGCATAAGTGGCGTGTGACGTCACGCAGGTGTAGTGATAACACGCGATAAGCACGGCTCTCGCTCGCGCAGCCTGCTGTCGCAAGTAGGCCGATGTAATCACCGCCGCAGCCCGCTACGTCAACACGCGGAAACAACAAACGGCCACAAACCGGTATAGTTAGTCATTTGTACATTAATCACTTACATAAGAAACAAATATGGCGCCCACTCGCCACTTTACATCAATAAAGTCCAAGTCTGTCTTGTTTAGTTAGCTCAATACTACTATGTAGCGTATTTGAGGGGCGCGTTCTACACTTCAACTACTTCAGTTGAGATAGAACCTTTCTTGCAGGGGAGTAAAAAGGACTCATGTGCCCATGTCTAATTTATATTTGAGCGCGGAACCTCATTTTTGGTGTACCTTAAAGGCCAAAAGACGCGGACACACCTGCAGAAGCACGAGACCGTGTCATCAATATCAAGCGGCAATACCGCGGGCGCAGGGACCGGCGCAGGAGTTGGAGGTACACTTCGGTATTTGACGTGCAGCACACGCCGGGCGGCGCGGGCGCCGCTTCGCCGCAGGATGCCCACAGGCCAGCGGCCGCCCGATCGGCCGGTACTCTCGTCGCAGCCGCCGCCGGCATCGCTCATTCTGTGCACCCACGCCTTCACCACCATGCACCTCACGTCTCACTCAGCCCGGGCCACTGATACTGCACTTCAAACGCGGACACCACGGTGTTCCGCGAAGCGCGACGCTGGACTGCGACGATGAGACAGCAGCGTAAAAAACGGCACTCACGTTTGCGCACCGCGCGCGACTGGCGGTGGCAGCGAGAGGACGCGCCGGCGCCGCGCGGTGACATCACGCCTTATCAGCACACCTGCGGAGCTCGGGGACACCGCCACCACTCCTCGCGATTCTCTAACGCCGGTTCCACGGTGAAATGAGACACCCAACAACAATCGTGTTTACATTGCACAATGCAATGCAACTGTACAGACAATGCCCCTGGCAATGATGCATGTCACATCTATAGGTACATACTTACGCAATATCATAAGAATAATAAAAACTTTCAACATTGACATACTGCATTATAATAATTATTATGTACGGATGTACAAGGTTTACGAGGATCCATATTTCCAGAAGCCTTAGTAATAACAAAATGTTATACCGCGACTTTTTCCGCGCAAAATAATGACTTCTGGCAGAATTTGGGTTTTTGAATTATATCTGCGGTCTTTTCAGAGTTATATTCTACGATGGTAACAAAGGTCGTCAGAATCGATTCAGTACCTAGGTACCTAAGTTTATTTTTTTTATGTAGTATAAGTATATTTGATGGGTCTTCGTTTGGTCACTATTTCGCCTGGTGGTAATCGATATTATGTCGTTTACCAGGTCACAATCTATCGTTGTACCGAATTTCACTCAATTAGTTTCAATGGTTTAAAAGATTTATTTATTTATTTATTATTTAAGATAGATAGTCCCAGGGCTCTATCCCATAGTTCCCGTTCTACTGGAAGTGAATCCGGGATATTAATCTAGTGTCTAACAATGTGGCCTTGTTTGTACCTGCGTTCTTCATTTTAGATAAAAAGAAGTTTACTGTGGCGTAACGTAACTATAATAATTACACACGTAAGACTTTAGTACATCACTTTCGTCTATTGTGTATAATTTCCACAGTGTAAGCAATATAAAGATCTTTTTGGTAGATTTTTCACACATTGGGTTTTTTACATTACATGATTGATTCACACGGTTCCCTATTTTTCTCTTTTCAAACAAACACAAACAAAAAATCACATCTTTCCTGTTTGTAATATTACTAATATGACCTATGGTAGTGATCACTATCCCATAATAATGTCGCGGAGAACCTAACTGGTAACCGGGGCTCCGGTTCGACGTGCAGGAGAAGGAATGGGGTGGTTTTTGGTCAGTAAGAGTCTGACACTCCCTCCTGCTTCACCCAGTCGGGAGCAGTCATTCGATGAATTTCCCCGCTTAAAAAAAATCCCATAATAATCAAAAACCCTTCTAAATCCACTCCCGATAAATCCACGGAATATAGAATACTCCATATTCCGTG